CAAAAAAGTGTTATACCAAGTGGCTTCATGTTCTCAAGGACACTAGTCTGCTACAGATTCAAAAAGAAAGAAAAAAAAGAAAAAAAACTTCTTGGACAATATATTTTGTTGGGGTCTTTGGACTGGATTAAGATTTGGCACCAAAGATTATATTCGATTTTGCTTACGATTTCAGCATTAGTTATAGCTCTTTATCGACAAAAAAAAAAAAAAAAAAAAAAAAAAATAGCGCCAGATATCACAGATAATGGATATGTTTTTTTTTTTTTTCTTATCATATTTTCTGCCATCTGTGTAATATGTATACTTAATTATCGTAAGCATGTTAAGATTCTGAGTGCAATGATAATTTACATAGATAATGGATTCTGTTTTTTTCTTTTCTTGTCTTTTTTTTTTTTTTTTTTTGAAAAGGTTTATCATTTCATCTTTTTTTTTTTTTTTATCCTTTAGTGTTCGTAACATGATTAGCAAAGATGAAGGAACCAAAAGAAGAAGAGAAGTAAAACCGGCACCAAACCCAAACGTTTTCCTCTTAAACGTTTCCTTTCCAAACGATTCTCTTCCAGATGTTTTATTTCCAAACGTTTTATTTCCAAATGCTCCTTCCAAACGTTTTCCCTCCAAAAGTTTCCTTTCCAAACGTTTTTCTTCCAGATGTTTTATTTCCAAATGTCCCTTCCAAACGTTTTCCCTCCAAGCATTTTCCCTCCAAACGTTTCCTTTCCAAACGTCTTCCTTCCAAGGGTTCTCCTTCCAAACGTTTTCCTTTCAAACGTTTTCCTTCCAAATGTTTTCTTGGTCATTCTCTCTCTCTCTCGCTCTCTCTCTCTCTCTCTCTCTCTCTCTCTCTCTCTCTCTCTCTCTCTCTCTCTCTCTCTCTCTCTCTCTCTCTCTCTCTCTCTCTCTCTCTCTCTCTCTCTCTCTCCTCTCTCTCCTCTCCTCTCCTCTCCCTCTCCCTCTCCCTCTCCCTCTCCCTCTCCCTCTCTCTCTCCTCTCTCCTCTCTCCCCTCTCTCCCTCTCCTCTCTCCCCCTCCTCTCTCCCTCCTTCTCTCTCTCTCTCCTCTCCCTCTCTCTCCTCTTCCCTCTCTCTCTCCCTCCCCTCTCCCTCTCGCTCTCTCCCTCTCTCTCTCCCTCTCTCACTCTATTTCCTAAGCGTTCTTCAAAAGTCACCAATAATCATCCAAACTTCAATACCTCTAACTTAATCCATATAGTATAAGTTCTATGCATATCGTGTGTAAGTATACCGTGTATAAGTGTGTAAGTAAGTAAGTAAGCGTGCGTAAGTATACCGTGTGCACTAGGTTTGTTCTGAATCCTGTGTATGCCTTGCATTCACGTACTCGTCCATCGTTTTGCAAAATGTAGGACGACCTTGAAATCATCATAATTTTGAAAACATTATGAAGAACCTTGATGCTTCAGTTAGAAGGGTTATACTGAAGGAATAGCTTTGAGAATGAAAACAATAAATAAACTGTAATAATAATGTTATCGTGCTTTAGCGGATCGGCTAAGCATATTATACAAAAGGTGCATGGTTGTAAGACATAAAAGGGCACATACTATGAAATACATTGCAATATGCAATATAATACAGTGCAACATGTAAAACGACAAAACTATGTAAATGCATTTATACGTGGACAATACAATAAGATCTCAATTATAGAGAATTGGTAAGTACAAGGCTCATTGCTCAGTGCTTTTTCCTTTGACTTTTCGCTGGTGTTACGTTGGAAAAAACAAAAACTGGCAACTCACCCGAACTCTTGGGCACTCCGATTCATTTTTTTTTTTTAATCCTAATGAGGTGATGCGTATTATTTATACTTAAAACATGTCTTACATATATATATTTTTTTTTCATTTCATGGACAGTATTATTTTTATCATTATCATTTATTTAGTCTTTTCTACTTACTGCCTTTAACGCAGTCGGAGTAATCCTAAGTTCTGCGTGATTGCTAAGTCTTCTTTTATTTCTTTTTTCGTTTCACCCCTAGACAAGAACAAGAACATATAATTAGCTTTTCGAAAAGTCAAAGTTAAAGCATGAGACAATTTATACTATATGTTCCTCTTATTTCCTAGATAATTCTGTTGCTGCTGCCGGCGTATGCGCTATTGTCTTGCCCTGAACCTCTCTCCATGCTTGTCATAGGATTATCATTCTTCCGTGCCTGTGGGGGCAAAAAACTGAGTTAGGGGGTTATTGTGGAAGGTCCATAAGCTTGAGTCTCCATTCAAAAGAGTGATAGAATTTGATGAATAGACACATACATGCAGTAATGTCTATACACACATCTATATACTCATACACACACACACACGCTAAGGTTCACAAACAGACTCTAATATTCACACACGTACACACACTTTCTAATACTCACACACACACACACACACACTCCACTCCTCCTCCCCCCCTCCCTCCCTCTCTCTCTCTCTCTCTCTCTCTCTCTCTCTCTCTCTCTCTCTCTCTCTCTCTCTCTCT